CAAAAACCTAACAGAAAAAAAGTTACGGGGCTTTTAAGATCTAGAGTGGAAAAAATCGAAAAAATTTAAAACTGTGGTCAAACAATGGTCAAACTAATTATTCTAGAATATTAGTGTTACTAAATAAGTATTTCAGTTATTTTGAATTTTGGTCAAATCTGGTCAAATCGTGGTCAAACCGTGATCAAACAATGGTCAAACAATGGTCAAACTAATTATTCAATAAATATTAGTGTTACTAAATAATTATTGTTTTTGAAAATAATAGTTTCAAACTCAAACAGTGAAATGTGTCATTTCATGCTCACGCAAAATTTCTGAGGGTTAATAGGATTGACATCTTACTATTGTCAGCAAAACAACAAGTGCAGACTTGGAAACGAGGGAGAATAGAACCCGGAAGTTAAGCGTGGTCAGGCTGGGGGAGTGGGAGGATGGGTGACCGTCCGGAAAGTTAGATGATTAGGAATGACGAGGGGTGATTAGAGATTAGAGGATAAATTGAGCCGTGATGAGGGGTGGTGATTAGAGATTAGAGGTTAAAATAATTCAGAAATTTGAAAATAAAAAAATTCATAAAAAAAGTTTCAAAAAAAAAATCATAAAATTTCCTTTAGTCCCGGTTGGTGTTACCAACCGGGACTAAAGGTGGAGCTCCACGTGGCTGCGACCTTTAGTCCCGGTTCCAGTTTGAACCGGGACTAAAGGGGGGGAGGCATTAGTAGCGACCCTTTAGTCTCGGTTCAAGAACCGGGACTAAAGGCCCTTACGAACCGGGACTGATGCCCCCTTTTCTACTAGTGCGTGCCGCTGACTCGGCGGGCCCGCGGCGCTTTCGCGCCAAAACCGCTCGCCCCAGCGCCCCGGGGCACCCCCCAGCGCCCTGGGTTTGGCCTAGGGCCGCCGGCGCCGATTTTGACACAAGCCGGCGAAAAACGGGCTCCTGGGGACGCGACAGGGCCGATTTTTGGGCGCCGACACAACAAAAACGCATGAGGAGGGCTTATAGGTGGCGCGGCTGGAGTTGCTTTTAGTATGATGTGACGAGAATGCTTAATATCACGTGACGATGTGGTGCTGAACCATATATTGGTCTGGCAAGACACCATGCCACCTACCACCACTACATAGAAATGAGAGCATGGTAATCCGCTCTGACCAATCTCCTCACTTATCACTTTCACAGCCCTGTCCTCTAATATATGCATCCTGCTGAACCGTGTGGGCATGCCATGTGCTCTACAGCATCACCTTCCTTCCTCAAGCTCCACGTGCCAGAATTGACCTCCATGAGCTTTTGCGTGTTGTTAAATTCTAAACTCGTTGCATGGTAATTTATTTTGGGTGTTTGATTGGTACAAGTGGAGAGCTTCAAACGGGGCAATGTAGTTTCCTAGCACAATTCCACTAATTAAATCGGAAGCATATCTCAGTCGGGGAATAAAAAAAGGCAAATCTAAATTGACCGCACAATATTTAAGGGATCTACTTTTTTTTTGCGGGTGAAGGGATCTACTTTGTTGTGTTCTTGGGTCTTGATTGGCATACAGAAAACATCGCTCACATGAAATATTGATGTGTATGTTGATCTTATCGCGTAAAGAAAAAAAATTCACAATTGAATTTCTACAAAATGATTAAATTGTCCACATTATTTAATCTTGATCACACCTTGCGTTCTCAGTTCTATAAATATAGATCGTTCCTTTTGCTTAAGCCCCAAGAGTCAAAAGTGTGTCCCTTTCTCTCTCTTCATTTCTAGAAAGAGTCAAATACTTCACTCAGTAAAATGGGACAATGACTGTGTGCATCATGATGATGCAGAGGCAGGGGGTCATTCCCCTTTTTGAAAAAAAGTAAAATGGGACAAAAGAGAAAACAAATCCACTACACACATGTTCTGTTCTTTTGCTCTCATGAAATATTTTAACATGGGCTAATTGCTTCTGAAGCAAGTTACTGGACCTTTTCATGCCACTTGACTAACACAAGTTACGTACAGTTTTTTTATCACTATTATTTTATGTTTTTCCTCATATATTGTTTATGCTTTAGAACTTACAGTTTCAAATGATTTTTGACACTGCAATCCGTTGGTGTAATTCTTGGATGAGTGCTTATTTATTAATTATATACTTACTGATTCCACGCAAGCAAATTCACCTATTGATTAATTGTACTAACTTAACTTTGTCAAGGCATCTCCAACGCTGGCCCATAATAATTTATATAGCACCACCAGCCGATTGTGTTCTCTGCGTGCTTCGGAGCCACTGAGTTTTGACACCTCTTAGAAACCCCCTGTTAGCAAAAGAGTAGAAAAATCTGTGCAAGAAATAAATACAGAAAGGGAGTTCATCTTGAGAATAGGAGGCGTTGGGAAGAAAACACGCAGCGTCTTTTCAACAACTCGTTTAGTATGAAGTGAAGACGTAGTGTCGAGCCACATGAATTTCCGACGCAGCAACAAGCATCGGGGTCTCAGGGTCTGTTTCGTTCCCTACCGGGCGGCTTTTAGCCCCACCTGTAGCTTGCCTGCGAATCACTTGGAGCTGTTTGGTTGCTTTCCTGAAAAGATTGGTAGGTTCCTGGCCGTATACCGTGAGTAATAGCGCCGGAAGGGCCTGGCTTCTGTGCTCTCCGCCACGGCCCTCGCACACGCCGTCACCACTGCTCTCTTCCCAGTCCCTGCCACGGCGCCAAGGCGGGCTGCCGGTGAGAGATTCTCCATCCCCTGTCCGCGTGTTGGTCGGACAGAATGCCTGCGAGCTGCTGCTATTCACTTGCACTCACTAGCTGAACTGATGCAGCTAAATAGCTAATGTTGTCATCTTTCTGAAAACCAACAATCTGAAGTCAAAATTTGTTTAGATGCCCTACCAGCCATTGTTCCTCTTTCTTCTCTAGTAGAGACACCACAAACCTGCTATTTCTTCAGTACTGAACTACTGACATAATATCAGCTCTCCCTTGAACAAATGTTCAGAAGCATTTCTGGAGCGAACACTTGAATATATAGTTTCTTGTGTCTAGATCAATAAGCCTAATCATGGTATCCTATTCGTGTTAAGTGAACTCATTAGTTCGAGAAAAGTTGCTTGCTTCAATCTTGATTAAACATTTTCTTGCTCCACTCTTCTGTTCTATGGAACGCTTGCAAGCCCTGTTAATTCAGTAGTTAGAGAAGAGCTTTCATCTTTGAGTGTTACTGAAATATGGGTTGAGGGGCACTTAGCAAGCCTAATCAATGAAAGCTCTCTTGCAGGACGAATGCAAACATATTGTGCAGTCAAGGTGTGTGGAATCATCTGGTACATGCTTATCAAGTTATCATACTTTAGAATATCCTCATACCATCTTATCGAAACACATGGCTCTATTTATGTCATGCCATGATTTAATTACGTCGATTGTACTTGTCAGCTACTTGGTTAACAATTCTGGAGATCCAAATATTTACTGCATGGGTTGCCTGCTTGCTAATCTATCGTGAATGCGTGTCAATAAAATGCTTTTGCTTGCTGCTGTTTCAGTTTTCACTGGTTATGCTTTCTCTTTGGTTTTGAATTCATATTCCTTTTCTGCATGTTTATTTTTGAGATGCATCATTTATGTTTAATTGCACCCTCTCTTTAAGGAATGTTCAACCTCCCTGCCTATCCTTTAACATTCAATTACAGACTGAACCCTGTGACATATGCTGTGCAAGTTTGCCTAGTACAAATGGAATAAGTTCAAAATGATGTGGAAGAGCAGTAACACATTGTACTACTATAGTTAGTCCTGAAATGACGTGGATGCTTAGCTTTTGTTGCTATGTTCTTCAATATGTTATCTAACTGAGTCAGTCTGGTGCCATATGATTTTCCATGTTGCTGATTAAACTGTTTATGAAATACCGAAATAATTAAAATGGATGTGTCCAAGAAAACATGCCGCTGCTCTAGGAATCTAGGATGCCATTGCCAAGGAACTACAAAGTTTTTAAGCGTATCTACAGATCAAGAACTTGTAGCTGTCCGAAACAGATATTAATGTTCCAAAATTTAGTCCCAGGCTTTATGACAACAGTATTACAGGTTATGTGTGAAACCAACTGCAACTATTAAAAAAAAGTCAGACAGCCTAATAAGCACTTTCAGATCTTATTCTGCGTTCTCATAGTACTTTCACCATTTCTCCAGTATGGAATTCTACTATAGTGTTCTTCATTATTAATTAGATTGATAGTTACAGCACGAGAGATTGATTTTTTGCTAATTTGCCCTTGGCAGATGTACAAGGGACCTCTTCCTTGCCTGATCAGGTCAAAGATGAGCAAGTACTGCTCCTCCCTCTTCCGCTGTCATGTTTGCTGAAATGACTCAAATGAGGACAGATGACTTTCACTGTCATGTTCACTGTCAAGATCAAAGCTTTTTCTGTAGTAAAGATTAATAGCAAAATCTGAATGTAGTTCAAATTAACCGTGGGAAGTTGCTCACCTTTGATTTTCTCAGATGGAGACCCCTGCATATCCATCAAAGCAGCTGCCGGATGCACACATGATCAAACCCAAAGTAGAGCCTTCGGAGTCAGGCTGCAAGTGGGATGAGACGCGGGAGTCCCACATAATGTCGCATCAACCCACATAATTATGTGGGATTAAGTGGGATGTCCACATAAAAATAATTGGGACTATGCGGGTTGCCACATACCCATATAATTTGAATGCAAGAATTGAAAATACAAAAAGTACATGTCAGGATACAACTAGTTCATACTGTTTACTCTCCATCTATTAAGACTACAACCTGTCAGGATACAGCAAGTACATAATCTGAATGCAAGATAAATTGCATTAATACAACCTGCCATCCTTTATTTGCAGCAAGACTAAAGACAAAATCAATTGCAATAAGACTAGAGGCTACAGCAAGATGAATTCTTTCAGCTCTTCAAGATCTTCCATCACCATCAACCTGCCATCCTTTCTTCAAGTAGCAAACTAGCAACCCATATTTCCTGTCAAAAAATATGTCCGTCAGTCCATTTGCATCATAAGAATCCATTTTACAGGATAACTTAGGACTTTACAAGAAACATTGGAAGTCAAACAAGTAGCAAAGTAGAAACATTCAGCTTTTCTTCAGAACAGAGGGTAGATGAACATTTTGCAGAGGGCAGATGAACATTTTTCAGTAAGAAGAATGCTGCTTTTTGCACAGTAGCTTAAATGATTCAAGGCAAGCACTGCAGCCAACAACTAGCTGATAAATAGAAATAGTGATTATCATGGGGGCATCGCATATACCTTGATCTTCTTCATCTGTCTCCAATGATACGCCTTTGTATTTTTCTGGATCTGTAAAACACAAAACACATAAATTTTTAGATTAACTGTGGTTATCAATTTTTGTGAGCAATAAAAGAAAACCTTACTAACCATCAGTTCTCAGCCAGTCTTGTAGGCAAATCAAAGCTTCGACGGTGGAGCAAGAAAGACTGCTCCTATAGTCGCTGACAATGCGTCCTCCAGAACTAAAAGCAGACTCGGATGGCACTGTGGATGCCGAAATAGCCAATATGTCGCTGTTACTGTCTCCAGATGCCAGCGAGGATTGTGAGACCACCCCACTCTCCTGCAACCACCCCTTCTTCACCCTCATTCTGTCAAGATCTCATGTTCAGAAGCCGTTTCAGCTGGTATGAGATAGCAACAAATTCTTCAAATACTCATTAGTTGCAGAAATGACCCGTTTACTACTATTATGATGTTGCTTTGTGTCCAGTACATTCCAGGTCGCTTCCGCAAGCACCTCCCGGAGGAGCGCACTTCCGCCACCCTCATCTGCCATGGGAGGTCATGGGCCATGCGCTACTGTGGTGACTTGAAGACGAAAAGGCTGGATGCAGATTGGATGGAATTCGCTGTCGAGAACCGGCTGCAGGTCAACGATGCATGTGTCTTCGAGCTTGTGACTGGCACCAGAGAGGAGGTGGTGTTCCAGGTGCAGATACTCCGCGGCGGCCTGCCGAAGGATATCACCTCTAAAGGTTACACCGCCGACAAGCCTCTGGTCATTGTGGATTAGAGATCAGGTCAGGAGATGCTTCTTGTTGCATGTAGGACAGGAAAGTATGAGCTTTTGCACGCTGTTATAATCTGGATTACTCGCATGCTCTGCGTATTTTGAGTCAGTTTACTAACGGATGGTTTTGGAAGGTGATGCATGTGGAATTCCTTAGAACAATTTGCTAATGAGAAAAAAAAATCAATATTATCTGGGCAATAGCTCATATCTATATTTTCTTAAACTGTTGGGTTTTGTATTTAATTGAAAATATGTTGTTGAACATTATGGTCTTCTAGCCCAACACCAAGGCACATCTGAGTACTGCAAACATGCTAGAGATTATAGTAATTTGCTCAGACATGTCTGACCTTTGAGCTGGTGTGGCTGGCACTAGAGAGGAGGTGGTGTTCTAGGGCTAGATACCGCCTCATAGCCTGTCAGAGGAGGTCGCCTCCAATGGTGCCAACATCATTGAGACCATGTTTATCGTAGAATATACTTCATGAAAGGATTATTGTTCCATAGATCGAGGGCTTTTGCGCATTGTTAAAATGTAAATTACTCCCATGATCAATTTAATTTTGTGTCCGTTAACTTAAAGCTGTGATTTGACTTGAGGCGTGGGTTGTTGAAAGGTGATGTCTGTCTCAAATATGTTCGGCTCTGACCTTCTAAGCAATTTTACTAGTGAAACCGGGAACATGTCTCTTCCTAGGAAAAGGGAGACAAATCCATATATGTAGACACTATTTGAGTTATAAAATGTTTACGGTTTTCACTGGATCCAAAAAACACTTTTCGGTTGGACCATTGATTTATATGATTGAAAACGCAGTCCACTCCTCTATATAAAAAGATGGAGTATATGCATTCCATGTCGTTGGTTATATAAGTCCACCACCCATTTGAAAAATGTTGAAACACATATACATGAAACATGTCTATATTGTACACAGAAATGCAATGATTTATAGTGAAAGAAATAAATGCAATGATTTATACCTTCCAACCAGAAATATGTCCTGGAATTCGTTGGAAAATAACTCATAAGTGTTCTCAAACAACCACGTACAACATAGTTAAATACCTGTGAATTTTATAAATATCTAGGGTCGAGACAAGTGGGCTTTATGTGGCTTCATGGGTTTCACCGCTTGTCTTTCCTATTCCAAGTTATCCACTAGCTTGCTCAAACAAGGCAACAGAAGGGCAGCCGGCTAACTAGCAAACTAGCAACGCATGGACATATATGCACCATCCACATGGATAACTTAGAATAGGAGACATAAGGAACGAGAGATGTGGGATGATGGAAACACATGTTGTTCCCTACATCTCATCGCTGCGTTGCAAAAGCTTTCTCTGTTGAGACAGATGAGGTACATGTCCTCTGTAGTGTAAGGAACGACATTGGTCCCATGTTGCGACCCCTTCTTGCCACCGTTCTTTAGGAGTACTCTATTGAGCAAGGGAATAATTCCCGGCCAATCGGCAGTTCAGCCATAAATTCCTAGCGTCAGGTGTGGTATCAATGACAGATGATGCTTCACGTGCTTGTATTTTTCTCTCACACATGAGCACGATGCATAGCGCTTCGAGTTGTTTCTGGTCTGTATTTACCACCTCTAGTTAACGCCTATCATTTTTTTCTAGAATGCGCACGAGTGTGCGTATCGTATATTAAAGGAGGAGAGGGGTAAAGAGCTCTTACAATAGATTACCACCTCCATAGTTTGTTCTTACAATAGATTACATGCAAGAACTCCACGCCCGTAGGCCGGCCAAAACTATCTAACTACTCGCCCTAGCCCACCCTGCTCTCTCAAGAAGGGGGTGAAATCGCCCTTTAGGAGGCCAGCAGACTTCCTTGCTCGACACTCGCTCTCAATCCTAGCAATTACAGCCCCAACGGATGGAGTTGTAACATCAAAGACGACAGCCTTCCGGTGCTTCCATAGCTCGTGATGTTGGCCGCCGTGCACGAATTGCACCATGAGATCACCTCCGCCTCCACCGTCAGCGTCCAATGTTCTTCGTCAAGAGCAGTTAGTATCGTGTGCCACACCGTTCTAGCGAAGACGCACGTGAGTAGGATGGGATTGATCGTCTCCATGCCCTGGTCGCAGAGGGGGCATGCCGACTGGCGGGGTAGGCCACGTCGTGCTAGCCGATCAGAGGTCCAACACCTCGCATAGTCAGCATATTTTGGGTCAGTTTACTAACATGAAAATATTGAAGAAGAAGCTTCCAAAGGATAACGAATTGCCCGACAATACATACGCAGCAAAGAATGTCGTATGCCCTCTAGGATTGGAGGTGCAGAAGATACATGCATGCCCTAATGACTGCATCCTCTACCGCGGTGCTTACAAGGATCTGAACGCATGCCCGGTATGCGGTGCATTACGATATAACTTCAACACGAGGGGCCGGGGTCGATATACCCCCTCCCCGATAATATTATTTTCTCATGTATATGTATGTCGCGTCGTTGTTGATATAACCCCTCCCGGATAACTTCGACATGAGGGGCGGTCGATATATATACCCCCTCTCGACCATGATAACTTATACCATGGCAGCACCCCCCTCGGCCCTCTCGCTCGACCAAAACTCTCGAGGACACCCAAACCCTAGAGAAAAAACGATGTTGGTCTCCTACCCCCTTCCGCCGCGCCCCTACCCGACAAACTCTCTCGAGGCCACCCAAATTTACGAAGTTAAAAGAGCGTTGTCGTCGAGGCCACCCCAAACCCTTGAAGCGTTGTGTCGAGGCCACCCCAAACCCTTGAAGCGTTGTCGAGGCCACCCCAAACCCTAGAGAAGCAGCGTCGAGGCCACTAATTAATATGATTCCTTACTGTGATTAGCTAGCTAGTTCTACGTTTGCCACTAATATATCCATATCTGTCATGTTTGAATAATAATTGCCATGTTGTAAATATTTGTAGAAACTATGGACACCCCCCGAGACGAAGCAACAAAAGTGATGTTGGAGGAGATAATCGCACATGGAAGTGATTTCGTCTTATCATTTCTGAACGACACCGATGGTCTGGAAGGACAGGGTGAAGAAGCAGGCAATTATGATGGCTCCTTTGACCCAATGCCGGTGCAAGAAGGCAACCATGAGGACGGCTCCGGTGACCCAATGACGGTGCAAGAAGGAGACCATGATGACGGCTCCGGTGACCGAACCGAGTCTGGCCAGGTATATATATTAGTTAAGCCTGTGCTGACTAGCTAATTGATGCATTCATTGTTTTGGTATATGTACACATATTAATTAACTCTCGTCTTTCTTCTTTTTTCTAGCCCTCCGGATCGAGCACAAATTCGGTAAGGAGACGAGGCCCGAAGAAAAAGTTGAGCCCGGATGAAAGGTTTGAGATCACAGCAAGCGCGTGCGACGGCGAACCGATTGAACCCATCGGGACAAAGAACGCATTTGTTGCTCAGTGCGGGGTTCTTGTTAGGGACAAGATCCCGATCAGCATCCACCAATGGTATAAGCCTAAGGAGGAAGACCCTCAGGTGTCTTATGTCAATGATATGCAGAAAGATGATCTTTGGACTGAGCTGAAGGCAAATTTCACCCTACCGCCAGAGGAGGATTCGGAGAAGCCAGTTAAAGAGCAATTAATCAAGTCTTGTGCTCTTAAGAAGATGGCAGACCTATTCAGGAGGTGGAGGAAAGAGCTGAAAAAGTTTGTCGACAAAGAAGAGACACCAGAATTCATCGACAAATATGAGAAGATCAGAGATCACTGGCCCGCATTTGTGGCCCACACGACATCGGAAAAGAGTAAGAAGATGTCGGCGACAAACAAGCAAAATGCTGCGAAGAAGAAGTTTCACCATCGCACAGGGTCAGGTGGCTACCTCAAAGCCCAGCCTAAGTGGTCCAAGGCTGAGAATGATCTGCTTGATAAAGGGATTGAACCAGAGACAATGAGATGGCCAGACCGTTGCTGGACTTGGTTCTTCGGGGCTGGTGGAACCTTGGATCCTGTATCAGGGAAGTGCTGTTGGATGGACGAGCAACTGAAAACACCAGTCAACAGGATTCGACACTATACCGATGCAGCGCAGCAAGGGACGTTCGTTCCAGATAGGGAGAAGGACGATCTCACAATGGCCCTCGGGAATCCTGAGCACCCTGGACGGACACGAGGCACGCCAGGCTCCATTCCATGGAAGGTTGGTTTTCCGGATGCAGGGGGTTACAAAACCCACGGGAGGAGGAAGAAACTGGAGCAGAGCCAACTGCAGGCGCTGCACGAAAGGGTACAAGGGCTAGAGGAACAAGAAGAAGATCGCAGCAAATGACCTGCCGAAGCTTCCCCCGAAGCTACCCCGCCATCTCAGCAGAGAAGCAGCGTGGCTTCCACCGAGCTGCTTCAGCCGGAGCATGTCTTGACGGCTCCTGCTAGCTACCCCGTGGATTTTATCACGGAGGCTCAAAATTGCCACCTTATGATGCAATGGTAGAACTTAAAAGTCAAGGCGGCTGTCGCCCAAGTTCGACCTTCTGAACCCGGCGCAACTTTTCACTATCGTTCGATTCCAGAAGGATATGCAACTTTTCACTAATGTCAAGTGTCATTTCCTTAGACCATGAGATTGTGCAACTCCCGGATACCGTAGGGATGCTTTGGGTGTACCAAACGTCACAACGTAACTGGGTGACTATAAAGGTGCACTACAGGTATCTCCGAAAGTGTCTGTTGGGTTGGCACGAATCGAGACTGGGATTTGTCACTCCGGTTGACGGAGAGGTATCTCTGGGCCCACTCGGTAGGACATCATCATAATGTGCACAATGTGACCAAGGGGTTGATCACGAGATGATGTGTTACGGAACGAGTAAAGAGACTTGCCGGTAACGAGATTGAACAAAGGTATCGGGATACCGACGATCGAATCTCGGGCAAGTATAATACCGCTAGACAAAGGGAATTGCATATGGGATTGATTGAGTCCTCGACATCGTGGTTCATCCGATGAGATCATCGTGG